TAAATATTTATTTTAAATAAATTATTTTAATATTTATTTTTCAGTATCGAAGAAAAGGACAGTCTTAATACAACTGGATGTCCTATTCTGATATTTTAAAATTAGAAATTAAACAATATTATTTAAATTAATATTTTATCAATATCAAAAAAAGAGCTGTCTTAAGGCACCTAGAAGTTCTTTTCTGATTTTTAAATAAATAAATATATTTTTTATATAATTTTGAAATAATAGGATTATAAATTAAATATATTTTTAAATTTTTAATAATAGAGACAATTTATAATTAAAAAGTACCAATTTTGGGCGTTGTAGGGGTGCTAATCCTTCCCTAAACGTAACCGACCACGAATCCCTTTTATTATTAAAAAGAACGAATTTTTGGTTATAAAACGCAGATCAGTTCATTTTTTTTTATGTTTTCTTAAAACTCTTTTAAAGAAATAATTTTTAGGTATTCGACCTACCTGATCCAAAAGGCCGATGGCGACTCCCAAATTATTTTCAAAATCATTTATTCACATCACTTTTCCCATCAAGTAAATATTTCGTGCCCGGACGAAAACCGGTTACGACATCCATCATAGAAAAAATCAATAATTCTCTGTTAGCATTTTCATATGTACTCAACCTTTATAAAGAAAGGTCTCGATACCGACAACTAAAGATACAACATCATTTCATTCCTACAACGCAATCAAATATAGACATCCCATTTAGAACCTCCCAATATTCATGCAAGAACTTCCTTCCTTTTAATCTATTGTTCTTCAAATGTCAAAAGATAAATATAAGTTTTTCCAAACACTTTCCGGTCAGCGAATCCAATATATAAACAGAAAGAATCTACGAAACAGGACTGAGTACCTTAATAAGCAACACAATAACACATAATGGGGTTTTTAATCTTTCCGAGACAAAGACATTCAATTTTAACATGAAGAAGCATGTTCTACACAAATGAGATTAGGTGTTACCATATTGGACATGTTTACTGAGCAGGGAAAACAAACAAAAGCATTAGGAAAAAGGGTCATTGTTCTATCGATCAAAGAACTCGGATTTTCGTGCATGAAGAAATCGACATGCATTAAGGTTTCAAGGTCTAATCTCTTCCACAAGCGCTAAATCAGAAAATTTGCTACATCATGAAGCAAGCAAAAGGAAGGATCACCAATCAAATAGAACCAGAAGATTACTAAAAGTCTAAAACTACCATTACCTAAGATCATGTAAGAATGCAAGCACAAACTCAGGTTTTGAATGAAAATACTTTTAACTTCGATCAAATATAGCAGAAAAGAATTAGCTTTATTATTGATGCAAAATGACCGTCACAAAGCAACCAAAATAAGAGACAATAAGTAACAGCATAAAGAACAAAACCTTCCCAAATTACAACCAAACTCAACCATTTTTCAAATGGAATCTACCCCCATAAACACAACCAAAAACCAATAAACAACAAAATCTTAAATTTTTTTATTGTAGCTTCTAATAAAGCAACCAGAAAATGAGACGGGCAAAAGTGAAAGAATACAAACCCTCCCCGTAAACAATGTCCAAATTCCAACAAAGTTATGTATTTCGATGCAATGTCGAACTAAGTTCGTCCAAAAACCAACTTTCCCAATTGATTTAATTTAAACAGAAAAAACAATGAAACAAAACAAAAACTCTTTTTAAAAAAATTTGAAAACATAACCAATCAAAAGAAAAAACAAAACCAAGAAGAAAAGAATAACAAACCCACTGGGGAACAAGAAATCCCATACCCATGTAAGATTTCCAAGCTTAGAGTCTAAACACATCATTAAATCCATCTGGATTGTGCTCAAACAAAATAATAATTATATTATTAAGAAGACAAAAGTGCAAAAGGAGAAGCGAAGCTCATGGGTTCTAAACCGAACACACGGGAGAATGTAGGGAAAAATGATAGATTTGTTAGTTTTGAATAAAATTAAAATGGTGGCTCGCCACGCTTTCCCTTGCAAACGCATAGGCAGAAATGCAAATGCTAGACTGAAGTGAAACAAGTTTATTCAATAAATAAATATATATGTATAGGGAAATAAGTGTCCGACTATATTTTTTCCTTCAATTCATATGTATAATATTATTACTTTAAGTGTTCGATCATAACTATTATTAAAATATTTTATTAAATTACATATGTCATATTTATAAAATTATAAAAATTTATTTTTATAAATAAAAATATTTAAAAATAATAATTTTCCCTAAGTCCCACTTCACCTCTACCCCCCGCGTCCCTTTCTCCCCCCTCCTCCTCGCATGGTTGCTTAGCATTAGCGTCTACTAAAGTGATGTAAGAAATTTTTTGGAATTTAAATATTTGAGATTTTATGGATTTAAGTTTAGAAATTTAGAAAATGGCGACGATCGGTTACTGATGGATTCATCGGGTGGAGGCGTCGTCAGTGATAGTTTCAGTCGACGACAACAACAACGGTAAAAGCCAACAGCTGGCGTGAGTGTAGGGATTATAATTAGAATTTTCAAATTTTTGGGATTTTTTTAAAATTTGAGAAATTCTGGGATTCTCTAATTTTTTTTATAAATTTAAGTTTCTTTATTTTTTAAAAATTAAAATTATACAAATGTGACATGTGTCACTTAGTAAAGTTTTTTAACAATTGTTACGGTCGGGACACTTAAAATGGTAGTGCTAGTAATGTTAGCCACCTAGATTAACTGGAAAATAGTTCATGCATCTAAATGAGAAAAGAGATATAATTTGAACACTTATTTTTATATTAAGTATATATATGTGTTTGTGTGGGGTAAGATAACATACACTAATTTTATTTTAATTTTACATTATCTAACATTATTAAATAACTCTTAAAAAATATTATCAATTTAGTGTAAAATAATTCATATATAGAAATTGTTAAATAATATGTTTTTTTACATAAGTAATATCCTAGCAAAGATTAATTAGGCCAGTGATACCTTGTTCAATTATGTATGTAAATAAAAACATATTATGGTGGTCATATTTTTTTTTTAATAATTCATACTTAGAAAAGAAAGAAAGAGAATTTTGTTCCTAATAAATATTAAACCTACATCTTATAGGAGTGAGAATATGTCAACTAGAGCTTTTGACCACCTGCTCTAATGATTATTGATGTTAGTTATATTTTTAAATAATCGTTATTTGTTAATTAGGTATATCACGTAAAATAAAAATATGTATTAATATTAATGCCTTTGTTCTATACGATAAGTTTGGTAAGTTATGATGATTTTTATTGGTGGAAAGAAAAAAGTATGATTAATCAAGTACGTTTTTCAAGTTAAAAAATAGAAAAAAAATGTTTGTAGCTCTTATTTTCTTGAGTAGATGATTAAAAACTCTCGATTAAAATATCTTTTTTATCTTAGGGGTTGAGTTCAATACCCATGACTTTATTTTCTTAAGTTTTAAATTTTAAATTTAAAAGGCACCCAACCTATTATAAATATCCCACCATGAAAACACAAAAAAAAAACATCTCTTATATTATGTTAAAGAAGAGTAAATTATACAAATAATCATTTATGTTTGAGTAAGTTTTCATTTTTCGTAATGAAGTTTCAAAACTAATGAATTGGTCACTAACATGGGAGACAGAAAGCTAATATGGTGTGTTAACCGCTGAATGACTCTGTAAATGTGGCACACATTTGACTTCATGTCAATTGACATACCAACGATAGGTTAAAACTAATAAACTCTGGTGCTGGCATACCAACGATGACCCAAACCCCAGAGAAACCCTCGTTTTTATAGGCCAAAAAGAACTTTGAACACCATAGCTCGAGAAGAAAGTCAGGTCAAGCACCACTTCCGCCATAAGGCTTGAAGATGTCTTTCAGTGAAGCTGTAGCTATAGATAGAGGCGGACCCAGGACAAAAATCCAAGGGTTGCACAAAAAAACTCTTATAATTTTTTTAGAAACTACGATATCTATAAATATAATAAAATGTCTAGAAATTACATTATAAAGTTGACCTTTTCGTGTTTTCATTTTTTGAAAGCTGTTGATTACACTTTCAATCTTAACATCTAAAAGTGCTTATTTTTCTATTGCGCAAATCAGGGCATAATTCATAAAATCGTCACTCATTTTGTTGCACAAGTCCATCTTTAAAAGCTTCATTACAGAAAAATATCTTTCAACCGTGGCAGTTGCAACCGGCAGAACCAAAACTAACTTTAATAACCTATAGACCAAAGGAAAAGAACGATGTTTCCCTATTTCCACCATCAAGCGAGAAAGGTCGGCAATTCCATTCAAGTTAGCAAATTTGTCATAATGTAGCAAAGAGTGATAGTAGATATCAAGTTGACCAAGAAGATATGTCCTTTCTGAATCACTAAAATCATCTGGGTACATCTCACTTAACTTCAACAACTTTGATTTATCAAACTTAGAAAATGAAGCACAAGGACTCAAAGCCGCCATGTTTTCTAGCAATTCGGTGCTTACCTCACTAAATCGATCCCCAAATTCTTGAATTTGCATATCCAAAACTGTGTTAAAAATCTCAACCTCAAAATGATACTAATTAGTAATCTTGGTCCTACAGTTTCTTGGAGTAACATAATATTCCGACATATCCAAAGTTTCAATGCTATGTTTTTGACAAAAAGAATATACTTTCTTTAAAATTGAACCAACCCGTCATTTCTTAAAGTTTGCAATGATTTCTTTGTTCCTCTTACCAATGAAGTCGCTTCCAAAATATCTTGATCTTTTCTTTGAGGATGTCTTGACAAGGTATCCGTGAGACCTAAAATCTCCAACATCAAGTGTAAATAAAACACAAAATCAAGTGTTTTAAAATATGATAAAATAACGTACGCTTGATTTCGACTAGATAAAGTTGAGTCGTACTCTTCAACATATTTAAGCACCTCAATAACTTCAGGAAACAAATTCATCAAACTTATGATTGTTTTATAATGGGAACCCCAACTTGTATCTCATGCTCGAATTAGAGAAAGCTCTTGATTCAACCCTCTTCCAGTTTCAGTTTCACCAATACCAATTTTCGTTTGCAATCTCTTTTTGTAGCTCTCTCGTATGATATCCTTTCTTTTGCAGGAAGCACAAACCACACAAACCACATTAACCACCAAATCTAGTTGCTCAAAGAAGTCATGAGTACCATCATGATTCTTTGCAACCACCACCATCACTAATTGAAGTTGGTGAGCAAAACAATGTACATAATATGTTGACTTATTATCTCTTAAGATAAACGCTTTCAAACCGTTAAACTCACCACACATATTACTTGCTCCATCATAACCTTGCCCTCTTACCTATTTCAAATAATAGATAAAAGATTTAATATATAAAATAAAGATCAATTAAATAATTAAAGTATAAATCAAATAAATATGACATATTACCTGAGTCATGCTTAATTTATTTTCAGTAAATACAAAATCAATGGTAGCTTTAAGAGTCAAAGAAGATGTATCTGTCACGTGAACAACTCCAATAAATCTCTCCTTAACAACTCCAAGTCTATCAACATATCTCAAAACCATAGCCATTTTCTCCTTTTTAGATACATCACTAGACTCGTCATCTAAATTGGCAAACACATCCTTACCAATTTCATCACAAATGGACTTTATTATTCTTTTGAAAAACATTCAACAATATCTTTTTGAATCTTTGGAGATGTCAATTTATAGTTCTTCGGAGCCATTTCTAAGGTAACATTATAAATACTCTCATTGTGTTCTCTAATCAAAGATAATGTTTCAATGAAAAGCCCTCTGGAAATGGTGTCATCCGACTCATCATGACCACGAAACGGTAACATTTTTTTCAATAAAAATCTACAAGTGGCAATTATAGCACGTAATCGAATTTCATAGTTACTCTTCTCATGTTCAGTTTGCTTATGAAGAGCAACACTAATAGATTGATTTTTTTTTCACTAGATTTTCACACTTTTGTCGTGCTTTGTTGTGTAAACTATCAACATTACCTACATGAGCATATAACGATTTCTTTTTACTCCAAGTGCTAAATCCTTCGTCACAATGCATCTCTCCCACCTTGTTGTCCTACAATATCTCAAAATAAGTAGCAACATAAACAATAAGCTTTGTCCTCCTTTATGATATACTCTAACCAATCAAATTCATCAAACCATTCAACGACAAAGCGTCTTAGCTTAGAACCTATCTTTTTTTAAGGAAACGTATGACCCCTTGGTTGACATGGTCCTTTAATCCAATATGTCCTTCTTATTTCATCTTTTTGATTTGGATTATAAGATGTAATTTTTGGTCTATCCGCCGGATCCGAAGGAATATCATTCACATTAATAGTTGTTGGAATGGAAGCCATGGGAGTAGGTGACACAGTGGTAGGTTGTGGTCTTTGTGGAACTTCATTTGAGCTATTTCTTTTAAAATATCCTTCACTACTTCCATCAGTACCAACATCTAATTTCCTTTTAAAATAGTTACCAATAGAACCCTATAATTAAATATTTCAAAAAATAAAATGATTAATATATAAAACTCAACATATAATAATTATAAACTATGAATTACTACTTTACTTTAATATCCTAATTTTAATACATCAAACTAAACAAAACCTAATTTTAATGAATTAATCAATTTCAAATAACAAAGTATATATATATACTAGTTTACTACATTATTGTTAAATATGAAAAATTAATATGAAAGACAAAGTGAGAAAGATAATAAAATCATTAATGTAAAGAATAAATTAAGATAAAAGAAAGTACACACTTGTCTCATTTGTATATTTGGAGAAAAAGGTAGAAATGAGAGGTAAAAAGGTTCATTTCCAGGTTGCAAGTTTCAACTTTCACAGCCTCTTCCACAATTTCACTTGTTGTCTTCGAGGTTTCCACTACTTCACCTTGCCCTTAAAAAGTTCAAAGTTCAATCGACTACTATCGGTTTCCCCTTCAAAATTCAATCGCACCAGGAAGGCAGTGAGGCAGCCCTTGCGGCCTTGCCTTTCCAAGATGGGTTGAGTTTCCACAAGACCACAACGGCACAGCCCTTGCCGGTGGTTCACGGTTGCCCTTCTAATCTTCAATCGATGTTTTCAGTTTCCACATAGGCACAACCCTCAGCCCTTGTCGGCGGTTCACGGTTGCCCTTCTAATCTTCAATCGAGGTTTTCAGTTTTCATAGTCTTCGAATCTTCGATCTAATCTGTTGCCAATTGTCGTATCCCAATTCCCACAAAACTAAAAATAGGTGCTTGATTCATGGGCTTAAGGTTTTTTTTTGGGCTTGATCTATTTTTTAAATTTTAAATAGGATATTAATTTTTTCCTATAATAAAGAGCAACAGTTACACACAATATTAGGGGTGGCACTTGTATTAATTAAAAAAATTAGAAAAAATTAATACTAAATAGACAATTTTGAGGGGTTGCCTGGGATACCCAGGGAAACTATAAGGTCCACCCCTAACTATAGAAGTGTATCTAATGATAATGTGAGGTTTCCGAGATAAAGAATAAGGGTGGAGAACAGTGAGACATTCATCAAGGACAAAAGCCAGTAAAAGGCTCTTCAAAAGGTATTTTTTAATTTGAATATTAGTAGGATAATTATTCTTTTAAATACGTCGAATTAATATATATTTATTATCTATTAAACTTTGAATATTAAAAGATAATTATATACTTTGAATATTTCAAATTGAAATAATATATATTTAAGTTTGAAAAATAAAAAGAGTTTAAATCTTTTGAATATTTCAAATTAAAAGATACAATTATCTGTTTAAAATTCAATATTAAAAGATATTTAGTTGGAGTAATTATCTCTTGAAAATTCCCTATAAATAGAGAGAGCTAATCCTCCATGTTTAACATATCTCAGAATTCAAAATTTCATAAATCTTGAAAAATTCTTTCTCTCTTTAGTTTTCCGGTGATATGCAAAGTCAAGAAATAGTTCGTAATCTTGAAAGTTTGTGCTACTATTCGTTGATCATCTAGTTGTTGTATCCTGTGAGACAGACGACCAAAAGATCTTGAGTACTAAGGAGTGGTCGAAAATCTACCTTAAAAAAATTGTATAGTGACAGACCTCAACTGATTCCAATCGAAAGATGAATCAAGAAAAGAGTATTTTTTTTCTATTGGTTTTATTTTATTTTATTAAGAAGTTCAATCTTGTTTGTTGTATCTTCTCAGGTGATTATAATCTCGAATTGTTATACTTCTAACAACCCTAAGACATAGTAAACTCGTTCTTTTAATATTAATTATGTATAATGATATTTTATTATTATTATCATTATATTTTTCTATATTATTCTCGAATTAACGACTTTTTTCTAACAAGAGTCAAGAAAAGTCGAATCAATCTATCAACAAGGGATAAGAAAAAGATTTACTGCTTTCTGAAAAATTTTGACATAATTGAGTTATGGTGCTCAAATTCTTCATCTCTGAATGATTAGAAACATCATGAAAAAATAGATCATGTTCATACTCCAAATGATTTTTATCATGTTCAAAAAATTCTTCATGATAGTACTTCTCTACAAGACACAAATGTTTTCTATCTTAAAATTCTTATATCTATTTCTAGGATTCAAAGCCACACTTAAAATAAGTAACTTTGTTGATTGCTCACTAAAACGATCGTTTAGTTCATGCAATTGTTGATCCATAGTAGCTGTAAACACATCGACTCTATAATGATGCTTCACTGAAACGAAATCTTTATTACTTCGAGATCGAATTATATAAATAAGTAGCATTCATATTAAGGACCAAAGTATCATGATTATTGCAAAATAAGAGTATTTCTGTAAAACACTTCCCAACTATCATCTCTAATTTTATGAATTAAAGACTTTGTGGCATCAACTAAATCTGTTGCATTTAAAATATCTTGCGACTTATATTGTAAAGCTCGACAAAGTGCATCGTGTATCCCATAGTTCTCGTATAGTATGTAAAAATGAACAAATCAAAAGCCAACAGTTTTTTAAGAGCAAAATTAGCATCCCACCTGAGAATATGAGACTTGATGATCAATAGCTATTTTCTCAAGGACAGAACGAGTTGCATTGTATATCCTTAAGACACTACAAATTGACTTGCAATGAGAACTCCACCTGGTATCTCTGGAACGTTGCAAAGTACCAATTTGGTTTAGTGTTGTTCCAGTTTCATCTCTTCAATTTCAATTAAATGTTCCCATTTAGTAATTTGACTATGTAACACCCTTACCCCGCATTCGAACTTGAATACAAGTTAAAGATGTCACATTGTTTTCGTACTACGTTTACTTCAAGTCGATGAAAATTTTGCTTCTTTCAAAACGTTCAAATTTAGCAATTATTATTAAATTATTTAATCACATAAATTCATAGTGAAATATTTAATTTCCAATTTGCATTAGTTTCCTTTGGCGTTAGGCAGGTTTTACTATTTCACATCACAATTAACATAGTATAGTTTAAAAATATTTAATCACATAAATTCATAGTGAAATATTTAATTTCCAATTGCATTTAGTTTCCTTTGGCGATTAGCAGGTTTATACTATTTCACATCACAATTAACATAGTATAGTTTAAAAAGCATCGATTAATCTTAAAGAGAAGAGCTGACCAACATCTGTCAGATCATCAACATTATGTACTTCATGGCATTCTTCGGTTGGTTTAATATGTCTGCATCAGTATGATCCATGGCAAAAATTTTGTTGTGCAAGTTTAGTGGTCCGGAGTTGATGGAGATGTAAGTAAATGTTCATTCAACATGTTTCAGTCGTGCTTTCAATAGGGTGTGGTATTGGTAGTTGTAGTTGAAGGGTGTGTACAACATTAAATCGTGTGACTATTTAGGTGTGTACAATAACTACCTAATATGTGTCGATACATTTTCTAAAAGTATCGACCCAAAAAACATCGAAACCAATAATTATAATGTAATAGGTAAATTAACAATGTAACCGGTGTAAATATACCGGTTAATTAGAAACAGGTAAACATAATGTATCGACACTTGTTTAATTTGTGTCGATATTATTGTCCAAAATGAATGCCAAACGGGGTGTACGCATAAAGTGTCGATACAATTATTAAAAGTTCGATCCCAATAAAATCGAAACCGATAATTATAATGTAATATGTAAATTACAATGTAACCGGTATAAATATACGGTTTTATGAGAAAATTGGTCATAAAGTATCGATACTTATTAAATTTGTGTCGATATATTTTGTCCATAATGAATGCCAGACGGGTGCACTCATAAAGTATCGATACATTTTAAAAAGTATCGATCCAAAAAACATCGAAACCCATAATATAATGTAAAGGTAATTTTGTAATATAACCGGTATATTTATACGGTTTATGTGAGAATATGTCTACATAATGTGTCAACACTTTTTAATGTTATGTCGATACTTTTTTCCAGAATGAATGCCCAAAAGGGTGAACGCATATAGTGTCGATACATTTATAAAAAGTATCGATCCAAAAAACATCGAAACCGATAATTATAATGTAATAGGTAAATTTGCAATGTTACCGGTATAAATATACGGCTTACTTATAAAATATGTCAATATAAGCGCACCTATTACATTATATAAGCGTTATCTATAATATATTGTATTTGATAATATTTCCGGTTAAATACCTATTTTATTATATAAGTGCCACCTATTACTTATATAAGCGTTACCTAATAGTTATTGTACTTAATAAATTTCTTGTTAAATAATATAACATAACTGGTCTAAATTTTAATCAATTACTTTATTTAATCGGTCACACCGTATATTTTAGAC